TTGTACATTTAAATTTACACCTAGCTACTCGTAACATAACACGTAACACTTTGTTCTTCTAAAGCTATTTGTATCGTTTTATGATGTAAGTTACACATTTTAAATAAAAATTACAAATTCTGTCAACATTTCTCTGCCTCTTCATTTTTGTCTCTGAAAACTAATGAGACTACATGCAACCATACTCCAATAAAATGACTGAATTATTTCGTTGTCTAACTAAAGAAGCAATTAAGAGACACCTTTTGACTTTTCTTACAGCAAACAAATTGAACGAGTGAAAACCTCTATAGGTTAATATCCTTATGAGGCGACTGTAGTTGGCGACAGAAAACTGCTGCATCCTGTAATCAATATCGGCCTAATGGGTCTATTGTTCTAGTAGTTAGTGACCATGTCTTCTAACCTGGAGGACATGGGTTCGATTCACACCCAGGAAAAATAGTTGTGTGTTGAGTCATATGTCCTGTGTCTGGATGTAATTTATTTAGAAATATATAAGTATGTTTATCAGCAGTCTGGTCACAAAAGGACAGGCTCTGCCTAATTTGGGATCAGACAACGGTGAGTTGTGTGAGGTTGTATATTATTTTAACTAATACTTCCAAAAAAAGTGGCGAAAGGAATTGTGTCCAATAAATTAAAAAAATAGATAGATAGAATAAATACGAAACTTGTATATTTAATAGGATTTGTATATCGTCAATAACTTGCTGCGAGATATCGAGTCCTTAACAGTCTACTAAACCTGAGTTAGATCTCATTAAAATATAAGATTTATAGCTCAGCAGCCTCAATTAAATTAAGAGATGTTTACACAGACACAGAACACATTGAACATATGAGAAACAATCTCTCATATATTTTATGTGTGAACATCTTTGCCTACAATTATTATAGCTAACATGCTGTCATTTGTTCATAGTAGTGTTTGTAACTGTAGTTTTTATTCTGAAATAAAAAAACGCCTAATTATTTGCCGGCGTAGTATCAAACTTCTGTAGTTAATAGTCTTCAAATCTATTCCATAAGACATTCATTCAAATAATTTTAATTAATAGATTAACTAAAATCAGTTTATGCGGCAACTTACAAATACAAGATATACATAATATACTTATTACCGTGCAATAATAATACCTTCTTATAGTTGGTTTGTAACGGTTTAACTTTTCAACCAATCAACACGGTGATAGAATTATTCGAAGTTTTCGAAATATAACTTTATTCCATTTAAAGCCGACAGCAAAAGCTAGTAGCGTTGTATATTATATCGGTTTGTAATCGTTTGATAAGGATATTACATATATGATTTCTATAACTAGGAGTTTGAATTCTAAAACGAACGATTAATTGAATGATTGATACACGCTTATAGTCTAAGGGTTACAACATTTTTTTTATTGATTTATATGAATTTTTATTTTTGTATACATTTAATTTATTTATGTAGGTAGAGAAAGGAAGAATAATACATTAATTACAATAATACATTAAATTCTTTTGAAATGCCCACATAATTATTATTTTTACTTGCTCGAGTTTCTATTCGGACTGGCGATACCGCGACGCTAGCCATGGAATACAAAACTATTACCATATTTCGGGCGTAAATAAACAGATTAAATATGTTTTAATACAAAAAAGAAATACAACCATATACCTACACAATGATCAATATATTAGTAGTATCTTTTAAACTATCACTATCACTATGTATATATATATGAAGGAACGAATATATGACTAATACAATATTATTTTGGGAGCCATTAAAAGTCAAATTCAGTTAAGATAAATAATTTTGAGATTTTTCAATGACACCAGTATCTTGATAAAAAGTTAATTCTACATAACTTCAACTCTGAAACTTACTACAAGTTTGAAATTTGACCGAGAATTACTTAGTATAGTGACAATATATATTAACTTGATTTGGTTATAGTATTTATAACGAAAATTGTATCAGAAATTTAAAAAAAAAGCGAAATTGATACAAGCACTGCATGCGTCAAAATAATGTGTCACACGACCTTACAAGCTTCGAAAAAAACTAATAAAGAAGTATTTATATTCCAGTGGTGTTCATGACAAAATTATTGTGAAAATCTAAAACAAAGGTCTCACACCGCACCCTAGACACGTCGTCGCCGAATGTGGCATTAACTTTGCCCTAACGTCGGATGTTATCGTTACAATACAATACAAGTTATAACTTTGTAGGCGTTTTATGGTTTATTGGCAAAACTTTGGATGGCTGTGAGGTGTTTGCATGTATAATTCTTATACATTTACGTTTTTAACGTAAATTTATAAGAAAAAAAAAATAAACTCCATATTACTTTTTATGTATATGCACGCTTCATACTATAGAAAAGACATACCTACATATTTTAATCCAGTATTCGATATCTTTTTATTATATATATATATTCTTATTATTAACTTTATTACGATGTTACCTATACGTACGTAAATAACTTCCAATTATATGTGTTTACAGTAGCAGAAAATACAAATACCTTGGATTCAAGACTTTTTGGTCTTTAAACATGTAATAAAAATACGTTAAAACTATAAAGTTGTTTTAGCGTAAAAAATGCGTATCTACCTAAGTAAATACTTATTGAAAGGCTATAGATATATAACATACTAAATAATTTTATAATTATGAATTTGAGTTTGTTTATTACGTTGACAAACCTTAAACCATACATTAGATATACGTTGCCAGGAGTAGAACACATGACCTAGTTACACGTTTTACAGAAAAAAAGTACTTTCATGTAGGGATAGGAAAATTAGTTTAACGTAAGTGAAGCGGCGGTTAAAATCCAGTACATTCGCCTTTTAATATAATTATTTTAAAAATATAGTGTAAATAGTAAGTGCGGTTTCAGGCTGCTTATTTAATGTTATCACCCTTCAAATGTGCTTTACTACTAAATTAGTAGTAAATTTTACTTTAAAGAATGGAATCACGCCCCCTTGTTTAGACGCTATAATGTAATTCACTCATATTCAGTAGAGCTTTCTGTGCAACGCAATCTTAATTAAATTAAAGAGTACTGCGAAGGCAACTGGTAGTACCGATTGTTTGAGATCACTGCCATTTATAGTCCTTAAGAGGTGATTTCTATTTGATCTTGTGTACTATCAAAGGATTAGTTTTGTGTTATTAATATTTTGACATGCCTCGAGGGCGAAGCCTCTTGACTTTATTTGTACAATTCCCTTATTTATCCATGATAACGAGATGGTGTATGCTGAACATATTTTTGGCATATTGGTTTATGTACAAAATACAAATAAATACGATTTTTTTCGATATGAGCTATAAGTATATGTTTTTTTCTGAATATGTAAAGTGAAGATACGTATTAATTCGCACGTGCTCTTTAGTTTTGAAGTAGTTAAAAAATAATTTAAGTAGTCACACTATCTATTTTTATGAATAAAATGTTGTGTTTTGAAAAAAAAACCAACGTATATTTGTAAATATTTCATCAAGCAAATGATACATCCAGACAAGATTTCAACTATCGGTCAGAAGCAATTGGATTTTCGCACAGCCAAAGAAAAATTTGTGCCTCCAAGGATTCGTAATATTATAGTTATTTATCGAGTCATAAGTGCTGGTAGTAAGTGTGAGTTAATAGGATTAAGGTTCAGAGAGGTAATCTTCGCAACCTGTCAACACAATCTGTTGAGTTATGATTTCGTATTTGATTCAAGCTTTATTTATTTATAATGTATTCTGAATCTGTAAAGTCTAATAAATTAGATTTCTGATGACGTAAAGTTTCATCGTGATTGGTTAAGTGGTAAAACTATGAAATCGTATTAAGTTTAACAAAAAAGAAATAACAACATATTCATAGTTTTACTGGTGCTGTTATCTGTTCCCTGTTAAGATCTGCATCATATGACGGACTTATAATCGCACGTTATTGGAAGAGCGAGTGATAAGGATATTAACAAGAATACTAGCAGTGTGAGATCACATGGTATGAATTGTCTTCATTCGTAGCTACTTTCAAAATCGCTGTGCACTTTGTTGACAAACACATTTTTACAAATTAATTCGACAGGATAACTGTATTATACCATGTATAAATAGAATAGAATAGAATAAAATAAAACTTTTTAAATCATAGATAAAAAGTAAGTACAGTACGTAAAAGGTCATTTTCTAATCAAATTTGTTTAATTTTCAATACTAGAGATGCACTCGAATAAAACAACGGTTTATTCCGTAACATTGTGTTTTCTCTCAGACGCTAATCTACTTAGCATTAACTTCCTAATATCTTTGGTCTCTTGAACAAAACAAAGTTATAGGCTCCAATAAATTGTCCTTGCAGGATCCCTTTTCCCTTATTGGTATTAAGACGAGTGCAAGTTTAGATTTGGTTTTGTACAACATTAAGTCTATAAAAGTATGAGATACATATTTTCACTTTAGCTATTAAGAACTTCAGAATATTGTGTGTCTTGATATTGCTTTAATGAAAGTAATAAGTGTTGCAATTTTAATGATTAATCCAAAAATTTAAATTTCATAGAGAGGAGCATTTTAAATAGCTAGAGTAAGGAATGGCTGATACGAGTATAGTAAAATATAGTAAACTATTGGTAAAACCTAAAGACAAGTTGTTTAAACTTAATATTTACACTAAAACGCGAAAATAAACAACATATTATAGTAACAACTCTTTCCTCTGAGCCTTTTTCCCAAACTGAACCTAGTTTTTTTGGTCTGGTCTAGTTTGGTCAGCTAAGTCTACTACGTTACGGCTAAACTTCGATTTCTCAAGGCGAGCGACTGCAATCAGACCTCCACAACCCAAATACTAGGCGCTTTTTCCAACATTTGTAATAACTCTAATAGCTTTCATTCAAGAGAAATCTTCAAATCGAGGTTGGTGAAGAGGTATCATAGGAATAGATATTGAATATTCATCGTGAAATAAGTTCTTTTATTTTGTTACAGATTAAACATGACGGTTAGGAGAACGGTTAAATACAAACCTTACAAGCGGTTATGAAGAAGGATTTGCCACTCACATCGCCAAATCACATCTAAAGAGAGTACTCATTATTTAAAAATAGATTATGGACGTGTGAAGTCAGAGAAAAAATAATATGATCTAAATGCCTTATTCAAAAGAAGTTTGTGCTGCCTCCAGGCGCCGACTATGTTTGACTCGACCAAAGGCGCACTACTCGTAGCGCCATCTTTATCCAACAGCACCTGTTGGCTGAACGGCAAGGGCTGGCCTTCAACATTTCCTGCTCCAGCCGATATCATTAAAGCATTTTTCATATTCGCCCTGTCTATGTCAATTGTATTTGGAAATTTAGTTTTGATTTGTGTGTTGAATAATCGACGTTACATCAAATATATTGATAATCAGGTACATTCTTATTATTATAAAATCTGAAACTCACATCTTATGTTGCTAAACTTTTATTAAATATTTTTGTAAATTTATCTTATATTATTGTTCGCTTGATAAATTTGCCGACCTTGAATCTTCTTATCCCTGATAGTTACAATACTTTCCTAACGATCAATGGTGGAATATTACCCGTCTCCATTTCAGACTTATTCGAAACGATTTGACTCTTTCTTGTCCATTAGTTCTCAGCGATAGTTTGTGACAAAAATAATTTATATTCTGTCATATTTTACAGCCAAGGTATTTACTGACATCGCTGGCACTAAACGATTTATTCACGGGGATCTTGATAGCTCCAGTGGCACTTCTTCCAGCTTTGTACAAGTGTTGGCCTTACGGCGAAATATTCTGTCAGATACAGGTGAGAATTTTACAATTTATATGGATAGAATGTTTAATTTCTGTAAAGAAAAATTATTTCTGTAAGAGGAAAATAAATTTATAGAAAAATTTTTATGGAAGTAATATATTTTCCTAAAAAAAATGTTGAAAGGTAGAAGTATAGATCCTAGTTTATAACTTTGTGCATCAAATTTCTAATCAGTAAGAGTCGCAAAAAAATTTAATAGTGACACACTATTTTACTTGTTATCCAAATTTCTCGAGTCAGTTTAATCCAGTTATAACTAAGCGAAGCTAAAAGTTCTCGTTTAAGTTTGTTGAATCGAGAGATGAAGAGAAAATGAGTAAAGTTAGTTCAAAAGAAGAAAAAGCGTTTTTATACTGATATATTCACGTTGATTGGATACCAAAACAGGTCCAAATTTAAGGTTGAGAATTTGAACTTTTTCGGATTGTATTAAACCTTATGTAAAATTTCATTAACGTAAATAATACAGATACTTTAGGAAGCTTAGGTACAAAAGCAGCTTTGAAAAAGGGTTAATGTTGACGTTCCAGTGAGCAGCGATTCGTGAACAATAAAATCGCGAAAACTTCTATGAGAAGCACATAATGCGGGATCGCCTAATGGTTTATAGTGACCGAGCACAAAGTAAGGATTGCTTAAGTTTAAGCTTTTGAAACTTATGCCAGACGCTCGCCGACCCGCTGACTCGTTATTCCTTTTTCAGAGATGCTCTTTTGTTTAGTAGATCAAGGCTGTTTAGACATTCAACATCCTTTTCTACCTTTAACTTAACTTGTTTCTTAATTTGTTGTTACAAGGCAAGTTATTTTATTTCAGGCGCTTTTACGTGGCGCTGTTAGCCAACAAAGTGCCATTATATTGGTGTGCATGGCTATTGATAGATATTTATATTTGCTACATCCCGCTACGTATCATAAACATTCTAGTAAAAAGGTAAGACACTGCAAACATTTTTTTTTAAACAATACTTTTAAAGACGAAGAGGCCTAAAAGTTTTCTGATGATTATTGAACTTATTAGTAGTTTTGAAGCTCTTACGGATTCAAATAGATTACATATAAAATATTCAAATTTTGCTATAAATGAGAAAAACTCAGTAAGAGTTTGATTCAGATCTTGCTTGAAATTAGCTTCTCCTCGAATTTAACTTTTTCCATAATTCATTAAAGGTTAAGCAAAAATTTTCAAGGTTACTACAGTATATTTCTATGGTTAGGACTTTTTCATATATAAAATCTGAATTGTTTCGAATCAGGATATCTCAATATTCTAATGAACATATTTTAATACAATATTGATTCTAATATCTTTTTTTACAGGGTTGCGTTTTAGTTATAAGTGTTACGTGGATATTATCAGTATCCCTATTTGCCATCATGGTGCTGCCGAGATCTGGATATTATTTTAATTCAACTGGACTCATGGCCTGTGATGTTTTCCATAGCAGAGTCGCCTTCAGGTATCTTTTTGCTATTCTTTTAGTTTTTTAAATATCGAAAATAAAAGCGTGCTCTAAACTGATACTTTTTCTTCCCTTAGGATATTATCATGTTGTGCTTATTACTTTCCAACGACTATGGCATTGATGTATTGCTACGGATCAGGTTTTCATGTAAGCAAAACTAGAAGTAAATATGATCCAGAACCTATTAGACCCAATGGTGTACCCGTTTCTTGCCCAAAGACGTCACATGGTGAACACGAAGTAGTGGTAAGAATTTCTTTTGTTTTTTGATATAATCTTATTAGAAGTAGAATATTTATAAAACGCAAGCGTAAAATATTAGGCCAGACTGTTACACCTACCTTGGGTACACTTGTTTCGGCGACTAGTACCCGAGACGGGTATTAGTCGAGAGAGACCAGGCCGTTGTAAGTATGTATTAAAAAAATCCTTTAAACATGTTATTACATAAAAGATTTTTTTTGTATCTTGCATATATGACACGAAAATGAAATCAAAATGATAAATAACATTTTATTCAAGAAGTAATTGCATCAATAAAGTAAATTAAGTTTTGCTCGCAATCCGCCGACTCATATCCTTTTTTCACGAAACTTTGTTACTGCTTATGATTGTCTAACATTGTCTCTTCTTTTTTCAGTAAGGATGATATTTTTACGATCTCAGTGATTTATGTATGGCTATGTGTAAGATTATTTGAGAGTTAGAGAAAATATTAGTCCTCGAATTAAAATATGAAGCGGTAGACTTCATAAATTTACGATGGTTTTAAAGATTAGCCCACTTATCTCTTAATTTAAGTCGTAAATCTAATGAAATAAATTAATTTTAAATCTTTTGTGACTTCCTTTTTTAAAATATAACTTGACAAAAAGCTGAAGCCCGTCACTTGTCACAATGGGTCACATCCACATGTCATATGTATGTTTTTGAATGCAACTTGGCTGTACTCCTTTGACTGACTGTTTTTTTTTGTATGTTTGTTACTGCACTGTACTGGACTACAGTTGGCTAATGAAATGAAACGAAATTATTATTATTATATTATATTGGCTAATAAATAACAGTCCCCTTGATAACCATGATGCTTAAGGTTACATTGCTGATTTATTATGGTTTCTGACAAATTTATTGAACAGATACAGGCCCCTGTGAGACCGCACAGTGTGAGCACATCACGGACAATGGCGGCCATGTCGTTAGGATTCATCGTTATGGTTACACCAGCTACTATTCAGGAAGTAGTAGCGGCCTGCACTGGATGCAAGGTAACTTTTCGACAAATACTTTTTTTACAGTGGTTCCAACCGTTTTTAAAATAGATATAAGTTTTGTTTTTGTTAAAATGATATTTGTTTTGGTTTTCTGGTGGATGTTTTGTTACTTTAAGCATTTTTTAGTTTTGGTAGTTTTCATTATTTGGAGTTACATGTCGGTTACATGTCGTATCCACTCCAGTGGAAATTGAAGACTCCAGTGGAATTTGTTGTCGTATATGTGTTTATATAAATGAAATTATTTATTTATCTCTTGTATTTTTATCTCTTTATTTATTGTTTACCATTGCAGTATTATTTGTACAGATATTAAATACATTTCGTTATAACTATTATACCTCGATGATTAATTACGAACTTTAAATAAAGAGTATATTTTTTTATGATTTATTACAAATGTATTGTTTTTAGATTTTTTCCTGCACTTGTAGTCTAGGTCAACGGAAAGTTACCTATAAATTTTGATTCCGCATCTTTTTATTTACGTTAACTTAGAAGTTTAATTTTTTCACAGCTCTCGTTCCCGAGATAAAGGGTCTTGACAGACAGACGGACGGATAGACAGACGGACATCAAAGTGAACCTATAATGGTTATGTTTTTTTCCTTTTGAGGGGAATATTAACCTTCTGGGTGTACCAGAGTGTTCAAAATACACAATGCACTTTTCCTTAATTTACCACAGCCAAACAAAACAAAAAACTACCCGTTATATTGTAATAAGTATTTGCATTTACTTTAGTTATGAATTTATTTATGGTGTTTAATATGATATAAAATTTTTTAGAACTCTGTTGATGTCTAGATAATATATCGCTAAAATTTCAAACTACAAATTACCCCTCTTTTTTAATTCAGGGCCTGCTTTGTCGTATTATACCCCATTTAGATTTTAATTTAGCATCGATAGTTGTTAACTTTCCTTGAGAAAATGTTACTAAATAGTTAGAGATCTTTTTATTGTTTGTTTTCCTGTTCTTTACAATATTCTCCTATGAGAATAAAAATATAATATGAAAAATATATGTAAAATCTTTTAAAAAGAATGGAAGGACCAGGTTAAGTGATCATTAGTTTTGACAATTAATTTAAATTTAATGTTCTCTTTATTTTCTCATAGGTACCGCCATCATTGGATTTTATCGTGACTTGGTTGGCGTTAAGCAACAGTTTTTGGAACCCTTTCCTTTACTGGCTGCTAAATAGTCACTTTAGAAGGATAAGCCATGAGTTACTTCAATACTATGTAAGTATTTTAAATAAAAGATACATTTGTTTATTTTGTTTTCATTGAATATATGAATTGAGAATAGTTCTCAAATACATATATTCAAATTTTGTTATAACATTGTTGCTTGAAATGTCATTTACTGTGCAAATAACAATAATATAATCAACAATAAATCAAAAAATATTTTGTAACGACACAAAGAACAAAGATTCGAGTTCATATATTTTTAGATTCAGTCGTTAACTCTATGAAAGGAGCATTATCCGGAGGTCGTGGGTTCGATTCCCACCCAGGACAAATATTGTGTGATGAGCACGGTCATTTGTTCTGTGTCTGGGTGTAATTTATCTATAATATGTATGTATTTAGAAATATATAAGTACGAGTATGTTTATCAGCGGTCTGGTTACCATAGTACAGGCTCTGCCTAGTTTGGGATCAGACGGCCGTGTGTGAGTGTGCGAGATATATTATATTATATTATTATATTATATATTATTTATACATTATTGGGTTTTTTATACACTGATCTTTACCATCATCATCATCATCAACAGCCTTTAATAGTCCACTGCTGGACATAAGCCTCTCTTTAGAAAGGAGGTTTTGGCCTACTATACCACGCTAGCCAGACGGGTAGGGGTTGTGTCAAGTTTTCTTTCTCTCTGCATTGCTGGTGTTCTGCGTAGTTTTTTACCTTAGTCGGCTCTTACGACAACCACGGGATGAATAGGGGTGGTGATCTTTAAGGCAGAACATCAATTTTGTTAACATTTGGTCGTTCTTATTTGTAATTATTTGTTCTAGGTTTGTTGTAGAAGGTCAAAGTCTTTCCCGAGTTATGAAAAACCTACAACGGGATGTTGCGGGTCTCCAGTAACATCGGACGGCTTGCAATCTAAAGGAGAATTCGAAGGCCTCGGTGAAAAATATTGGGGAGAGATACTAGAACGTACTGTTTCATCCTCATCTCTTCATGCTATCCAAAAAGCGTGCCACCGTGACCCTTTAAGATGTTCAGGATCTTTCAAGGGCTGCTCTAGTAACTGTAAGCAAGACCCAAGATATTTAGAAGGATATGGTCCAACCGACTACAGACATCTTGACAGATCTGCTTTTCAAATAGAATCATGTTCGAGACAATGCAGATTGAAAAACTCAGATATGTGTTTATTCAGGCCGAGTACTTCCTTAGACTGCGGTCGCTCTCGTTCCAACCTGAGTTTAGATGAAGGACATTTCAACAAATCCTGTAATGGTAGGCATCCAGAATTGTGAGAGTTCCAAAATTGTCCGATTATCGGACATAGAAGCAACAGTATAGGAATGTATCCAGGAGTGGAACATTTTAACTCTAACATTAAGTGGAAATTTGCAGATTCGCCAAGGATCGATGATGATATGCATCACTTAGAACATAATCTTGACCGAATACGTAGTTTAAGTCATGAGAGAAGCTTTAATGCTTACGGACTAAAAGAAAATAGCAACTTATTAGAAGTGGAAGTGAATGATATAGTTGAAGATGAATCAGATGAAAATAAAGACTACGGTAATGAGTGTGCTTCTGATTTTCTTGATGAAAAAGGTGAATATAGTGCTCAGAAATTTTCACGTACTTCGTCTCTATCGAATAGGGAACTTGACGTTATCAAAGAAAGCTCCAGGAGCTCAAGTGATACTGAGGTGACATTAACACGATGACTCCCGCGAGTGACTTTTGACAGAGCGGTAAACGTTGTTCATTTGGATTTATCCTCTGAACAGAGACATTGTTGTACGCAAAAGTGTATTCTGTCAGATTAAAAACATTTCTTAGATGTGTAACAAACTAGGATATATTAAATTTAAGCACACGTGGACCAGTAGTATTGGGTCTGAGTTCTGTAAACTATAATAGTATGTTAATGTGATTTGTATACATAAAAAAATAAATTGTGCCAATGTTAGATGTAGTTTGCGATCTGCATCTACCTCTTCAGGGAGACTCGCATGAGTTTGTGTAAATATCTTTTATGAAGGAATACTATAGTGCATTACGTAGATATTTATACTACCAGACGGGACGATAAGAAACATTAACTAGGCATGTAATATCAAACCAAGTAAATACAGTTTTCTAATTTTTGTAATGTAATAAGCAAACAAGAACAAAAGTTTAATTGCATATCTGTTTCGAAAAATGTATAACAAAATCATACGTTTTAGTTACCGTTTAAATCATATTCAAACTATACTAGGGTAAATTATAGCTCCTTAGCCAAATGGCTTGAATTAGTCATCTTGACTAATTGATTTGATAAACACACTCGTTCTGACAATTAATTCACCTTTAATCAATGTTGTTTCTATTAATAATTTCTATTAATAATCTGATTATAATATTTGTCAATGTGATTAACACCCATATTATTCATAATGTATATATTAACAAGACTGTCTGATGGAAAACTTATTATTATCTAATCGCACAATACTTTCTTCTATACATAATGATCTAAAGATAAATGTCTACTTAAATGTTAATACAGCAAATGGAAGAAAAATAAATGGTTATCAAGTAAGTCTCGCTTTTTATTTACCTTATTATCGAAGAAAGGACTCAATCAACTAAAACAAAATAGTAATAACACGTTTTAAATATTATAAGAGTTCGGAAAGCTTGTAATGTTGAAAAAAAATATTGAATTTATAGTTAAACCGCCGTAAGCTTGGCCCTCCTGATGGTTTGCGGGACGCGGGGCGGGTGATGCGCTCGGCTATACATGACACGATGTACTAACTCGATATCTTCAGATTTATTTGTTTGAGATTTAATCTACATATGATGTAATAAAAATCGAATTTATTTCCATGTATTATAATGTCAGTGTATTGTAAGCTTTTATGATTTATTGTAAAATTTAATACTGTAAAATAATTTTAATAAAATCACCTTATCTTCATCATGTAAATTATATTCAGATACAATTTTAAAATTTAAGTAAAATAATAAATATTCTTTATTAGAACTTTAACAATAGAACCTCTGAAAGCCGAACTTCAAGTTTTTAAATCTTTTTGTGACGCAGAGTCGAGCTATAGTTATCATAATCGACAAAATAAAAGACAGTCGAAAGGTAACTAAATATTTATTTGCGATTATAGATGTTTAGACTTTCTGTATTTCCCTAAATATAAACTTGGTCAAATCGTAGTGGTTCGTAATGGATATATTACAATATACGTAATAACAATAGTTATTCAATTCGATTCGGTAACTAATAGTTTCATAAGATTTATCATACATACAGCCAAAAGAAAAGGTTTCATGAAGTTGCAAAGTTAGATCGCTAAGCAGATTTATAACTATTTATAGGTAGATTGGATTAATTTACTTAGTTGTTTGTAAAACAAATTCAATAATGGACTTAAAGTAAACGATTTTGAATACTTCCTTTACAAACAAAAAGCTCCAACGACAAGTCAACAAGACCAATCTACTTTAAATCCTGATTTTTTTCTATGGGACAAAATGATTTTTCAACAATGTTTTTAAAATGTATAGTTTGTATATTATTTATACTATTCGCACATTTTGGGGTCACAAAGTGCATCCACTAAATAATGTAAAGCAATATCAATTTCGGGAATATTCTTTTAATGGTATTATCTAAATAAAACCCAAAAGCTGTCATAATCACAGTGCGCTGGAAGTATTAAGTCTCTATATATGTTACTAAATATCATAAAACTATAACAGTAAAGTCGTAGAGAAAAATAACGAAACTAGTCCATCTATGATATGGTCTGGTTTATGGCCATTTTTTACGGCCAGTCCGCGGCTTTTACAGCTTAAAGCGGCGGCCTAAGCGTTAATAAACGTGTTGATGTTCGCTTTACACTGGCTGCTTATCTCGTTAACTGTCATCAGCATCTTTGCTACATTATCCAATTTGTGTATCGAGTGTATAATAAGTGGTGCCTCTGCCTCTTAGTATAATAAGAAATTTAGGGCAGTTTTATACTTTTTGGAAAAGCTTCGAACTGCTTGTTATATGGAATATCTTATTACGTATGATTTTAGATTTTATTGCAGCTAATTTCATGTTGCTTTATATATGACTAGGCGGTTGCGCTAGTGGTTAGTGAACCTGACTGCTAAGCCATAGGATGTGGGTTCCATTCCCACCCAGGACAAATAATTGTGTGATGATCATGATGATTTGTTCTTTGTCTGGGTGTAATTTATCTATAATACGTAAGTATTTAGAAATATATTTATCAGCAGTCTAGTTACCACTGTAGACAGCCTTGTGTGAGATGTGTGAGGTAATATGGTGTTTCCACTAAAAACCACCCCGACAGCGGGTCTCAGGCGCTCTACTCGGGGAAGATCCGAACCATGTTGTTTTAAGCCCGATCATTATGAGTTGTGGTCCGGTCGCGTTTTTGCTACTAGGCCGCCATCCTATTGCCTAACGCACCAATTAATTTGCAACCGGAGGACCTGCGGCCCCGTGGACGCCTGGTATCTTTGCCGACGTCCTCTATGCTCGGGATCCGCCCTTTTCCGATCACGTTCAGCGGTCTTTTTCTGATGCAGCGCGTTGTTCTTATTTTAATAACATGTATCTTCTTCTTAAAAGAAGCTACAATATTTATGTCAAACTAATTTATTAAATGGATACTGGATACGGATTGTATTGAAATGCAATGTTAAAATTTAACAATACCAAGTGCAATTTATACATTATAATAGTAATATTAATATTTTTTATTGAATAAAGTTAACCATACAATAAGTAGAAATTACACAATGACTACATTATTATGGTATTTTATATCAAGGCTAACATTATAAAGAGGTAAAGTTTTTGAGTTTTTATGTTCGGGGTTTAATCTCCGGTACTACTAATCCGATTTAGAAAATTCTGTCACTGTTAAAAAGGTATATTATTCCTGAGTGCTATAGATTACTTTTTACATAATATAATCGATATAATCGACATACACGCCGGCGAAGCCGTACTAAAAAGTCGAAGGTTTTTTAGTATGAACTAGCAATTCATACTAAAAAACCTTAAAAATTAATATGAATATTATATTCTATTTATATTTTTATAATTAATTTTTTTATAAATGTAATTGTAAGAAATATTAATATCAGAAACTAATAATACACTTGAAAGGTTTCCAGAACCTTCGGTAATAACCCGTTTACATGCAGCCCTTGTAGTAGAAGGGTACGTGATAATAGCAAAACAGACATCGTTCCCTCTTATAATAAAAAATATTGTTTGTTGTGTACTGTATTATTAATAAAATATTTTTGTTTACATATCTAAAGTGTAATTTTCCTTATTTGTAACTATAATTATTGTTAAAAATGTAACAAAAACAGTAACGAAAATAAATAAAATAGAATATTATTTATTTATAAAGCACAGCATACAAATACAATATAAAACAAAAGTTTAATAACAACATACCCAAAGAAACTGAAAATCAAGTAAGGTTGGCGTACGCATGGATGCCGTAGTGGTTTAAGCGGTCGCCACGCTGCTCACTACTATGCTGAGTGCTGTGGGTCCGATCCCCACATGGGACGACACTTGTGTGATTCACAAATTGTTGTTCTGAGTCTGGGTGTTCTTTGTGTCCGTATCATGTAAGTTTGTTCTTGTTGTCCCCCGCGACACAGGATTTGTTCCTAGTACGGGAGTTGTCTTTTTAAACAAAAAAGATTTTTTAAACAAAGATAAACACGTTAATAAGGTAAATTTTTCAGTGTGTCAATCTTTCAGACCTAACATAATTGACATATTACGTCAATGTGCCACGTATCCAACCACGCGTCTGTGAAATGTAACTTATAATAACTTATCAACTAATACTTATCAACCTCTGTACCATAAAAAGCCTTGAATGTTGCTGAGGGTTGTACGCCGTGTTTCAGAGAATAGGTGGACACTGTGGTGGATAGATGCCCCCACCTCAGTTGTCACCCTGATGCTGACAGCCGCAATTGCATGTGATAATGAAATGCAACTTAAATTAGAGGTTGTGCGTGGTAGAGCCATGATTCTGCATATATGGCTCGACTGGGGTAATACGACGGTCTCACAGAATATCGGCGTTAAACAATTTTTTCGTTGCTTTTCACCGGGTGAGTGAGTGAGGGGCCCAACCCAACCTGTAGGGGGAGGCACTCAAAAGGCTAGAACGCACTTGTGACGCTTGAGCTACGGTCGTCCATAGGCAGCGGTAGTTACTAGCCATCAGGTGACCTGTCTGCTCGTTTGCCCCTTTATAACATAAAAAAACAGTGGCACTGCGGGAGCGCCGAGATAAGTGAAAACTTAATTTTTATTTTAACAGGTTCTTTTTTGTTTTTTTTTTATATTCGTAAAGTTCTGACATGAACATATATCTACATATGTTGTACGTATATATATAAATGATTAGTGACCCTGACTGCTAAGCCGGAGTTCGTGGGTTCACCTATAATATGTACATACATACATAAACATTTGTACTTACATATTTCTAATTACATAATTAGAAATATATAAGTACAAATGTTTATCAGCAGTCTGGTTATCATAGTACTGGCTCTGCCTAGTTTGGGGTTAGACTGCCGTGTGTGAGATGTGTGAGGTTTTTTATTATTTTTGGTATTGTCACATAAATTTTATTGCAATTTAACATATTATATACATATA